CCCCCCCCCCCCCCCGGGAGGGCAGCCAGGCTGGCGTGGCCGAGACTCGGAGAAGCCCGTGTGAAGTGAGGCTGTCGGACCCCGGGCCACAGAGGCTGGACCCTGTCCTCAACACTCACAGAGCCCAGCGCATGCTGCGGCCGGGAGGGAGGCATGGGAGCAGGGCCCACAGAGCCACCTGCAGGGCCCCGGAGGCTCCGGGCACCTGGGCTTGTGAGCGAGCTGTTGGCCTCTTGATCGGTCCACGCTTCCCCGCGCACTGCCCCTGTCACGCCGCCCAAGGCCTGCTTGTCCACCTGGTCACTCGGTTGCCCACGTCTTGCCCGGCCCCGGACTAGCTGCTGCCATGTCACTGGACTGGACGCTGAGCCTAGGAACTAACGAAGCAGCGGGAACGCATTGGGAGCTTTGGGGGACAGATGGGAAATCCGGGTCCTGGAGGCGTGGTCATCAGCCCAGAGGTGCCATCCATTAGGTGGACAGGAGCAGGATCTGGGCTGTGGAGGGCGCTTAGTCAAGTGGGGGTACCAGAAGCACACGAAAAACGGTGATTACCACGCAGTGACAGTTTGCTGGGGGCCCTGGTAGGCGTGGGGTCCCCAGAATAAACACACCCAGCTACCTTGGGCTGGTCTGTGCCTCGCAGACACCGTGGCTGGCAGCCACAGAGACCAGAGGGAGAGCTTCGCCCTGAGATCCGGCTGAGCGGGGCGTTCCAGACGCCGACACCAGGCACCTTTCGCCTGCACACTGGCCCGGACCGCACGCTGAGTAATGTGTGTGTGTGTGCGCGTCCCAAAGATTGTTGAAACCTAATATTTGTATTTGCTGAGGAGGCTGGAACGGGAGGGGTGGAGTTTTATATAAGTAAAGGTTCTTTATCTCTTTTTTTTACTTATGAAACAAGCCTACTGCCATTGTGAGTACTTTATCTTTATTAACTCATTGACTCCACACAGGGACTCAGTGCAATGAGTTGATTTAGGAGGGGATCCCAGGAAGCCCTGCTTGGGGAGCGGGCAGGGAGGCAGGGAGGGCAGGAGGCAGCAGAGAATGTTATCAAACAGCGCCAGCGCCGGCAACTGCTGCCTGATCCTGCCAGCAGCTTTGGGAAGCCATGCACCGTGTATGCCTGGAGGTGTCCCTGCAAAGTAGGGGTGGGGGGCTGGGGTGTTCGTCCACCCACTCCCCTCTGTCACTGGTGGAGGGCCACTGGCAGGGGCACTGGCAGCAGCTGGCACACTTTGCCAAGGTACACAGCGAGTTAGTAGCAGGCCCATAGCTGAACCCAGGCATGTCTCACCCAGGCTCTAGGTCAGGGGTGGGCAAACTTTTTGACTCGAGGGCCACAATGGGTTCTTAAACTGGACTGGAGGGCCGGAACAAAAGCATGGATGGAGTGTTTGTGTGAACTAATATAAATTCAAAGTAAACATCATTACATAAAAGGGTACGGTCTTTTTTTTTAGTTTTATTCATTTCAAATGGGCCGGATCCGGCCCGCGGGCCGTAGTTTGCCCACGGCTGCTCTAGGTGATTGTTCTGGACATCCAGTAGGTGGTGTGATGGAGGGGGCCTCAGACGGGCAGGCAGGGGATCGTAAGCTCCTAGGTCTGTGTTATTCTGTGTCTTTTTCAAAATGAGAGGCTTGGCTGTTGGAGGTTCCTTCCCGCTCTGGCTTTCTACACAGTGCACTAGAGGTGACGGGGAGCTCACTACCTTACATGCAGCCTGATGTTTGTCAAAAGCGTCTCCTTGGTTCTTTGTTTTTTTAAAGTGTCTCCTTTGTGCTGAGCCCAAAACTCTCTCTTTAGCTGCTGGAGTCAAAACACACACACACACACACACACACACACACACACACACACGCAGGTGGGGAAACTTAGCTCCAGAGAGGAAAAGGGATTTGCTAAGGTCAACAGTGAATGGCAGAGCCTGAACTAGGCCTCTGGACTTTTGCCTTCAGGAGCCTTCATAACAAAATATAATAATTAAAAAAAAATAGCCTTTTAGTGCCAAGCAACATGCCAAGTGCTGTATACCCACTGTGTCAGCCCTAGTAGGCAGGTCCAGCCATCCCAGTTTTACAGTTGGGAAGCAGGCCCACAGCGAGGAAGTCCTGGAGCCAGGTCTGGCTGCAGAGCTCCAGCCCCAGGGGATGCCATCTCATGTACAGCATGGCACCTATTCAAATGTCAGCTCTAATCCACTTTGAGCATCGTCTCAGAAAACCCAATTTAAAAATTAAGCAGCAAACCGAGGAAATACATTTGTGTGAGTGGTGGAGTGGCAGTTGGGTTGGAGTGCAACAGAATGGAGGCAGGAGTCACTGTTCTCTCCTCGGGATCTTACAAGAAAGAAACCCAGGTTGTCAGCTGAGGCTGATGTGACAGAAATGGCTGGGCTTGGGGAGGGTGGGATGGAGAATTAGATATCGAGATGCCTCCTGTCTCTTCCCTGCATTTAACCCCACCCTCCCAGGCTCAGGGAAGCTGGAGAAAGGCCACTGTCCTTGCTCCCCCAACCCCCTTCTCCAGCTTAACCCGGGGAAGGAGAAAGCAGAGCAGAAAGCAGGTAGCAGGAAAGCCCACATCCCACCCATAATCACTGAGCACCTACTATGCCAGCTACTGTGCTGGGTGCTGAGGAAACAGTGAGATGAGGTTGCTTCCCTCCTGGATCTTACAGTCTGTTGGGGAGACAGACATGAAATAGACAAAAGGGAAAATTGCAAACACCAATGGGTGCTGTGAACCCTAAGAAAGACTAAGAAGGGCTCCTGGTGGCTAACTGGGCTCAAATTTAAAAAACACACAGGACACACAGACCCTAAGAGCAATAGCCATGCACAGATCTCTCATGCAAACTGCACCTCAGGGAGAAGCCTGCACTGTTTCTGCCATCTGAGCCAGCCCTTATAAAGGGACTCCTGAAATCCTATTTCAACCAATAAGACTAAGGTTTTCCCCATCCAATTGGAGCTGTGCAACTCCAACCAACCAGAGTGGCTCTATCCTGACCAATCAGGACAGTGCCTTTTGGACCAATCAAATTGTGAGGATTTGGAGTCCTCATTTACATGTGGATAGACCAGTGGTCTTCTGCCTTCTGCCTTCTGACTTCTACCTTCTGTGCATGGGCCACGAAGTTTCAATCACACTGTATGCGCGCCCGCATGTGGTATTTTGTGGAAGAGCCACACTCAAGGGGCCAAAAAGCCGCATGTGGCTCGCGAGCCGCAGTTTGCCGACCACTGGGATAGATCAATCAGGGATCAAGGGCAGGGACTCCTGTCCATATAAACCAGCTACCCTCCAGCTCTGAGAAGGTACTTTTCCTTCCCACTGAAGACTGAGTCTGCCTGGCTGAGCTGAAACAATGAAGCTGTCTCTCTTCAAAGTGAGGCATCAAGGAGCAGAGCATCTGGGAGCAGAGCTGTCGGCCAGAGAGGGGCCGCCGGGCTGCCTTCCAGACATGCTGTTCCACAGCCGTGCTGTACCATAACTGAGCTGTTTTACTCTGAAAAGTCTCCTTCTTCACCACACCCCAACTTGGGGATTCCTGTTGCTGTTAAATTGGTGCCAACAACCATCAGTTGACAGTGCTCTGAAGAAAACAGGGTCTGAGACGGGGGAGCTAAAGGGAGGTCTTTAGGAGGCGTGTTCATAGCACAGAAGGACCAGCCACAGCAGTGAACCAGGGACAGTGGTGGGAGGAAGGCCGGGCACAATGGGGGATGGAGTGAGGAATTTATATTTGGCTTAAATGAACATTAGCCCCACCCCCTGAGAAACATGGCCCCATAGACACCCGTCTCTCTTTAATCTCCCCAATCCCAAAATGTAACCCGCCCACAAGCAGGAGCCAATGAGAGGGCGGGAGCCCCTGGAAGTCCTCCAATAGGGCTCCCTCTCACCTTGTGGAAGTGGAGGACTGAGGTTCCCCCTGACAGCAGCGCTGGTTAACGTCCTCATTGCTGGTACTCTCGCCCAGGAATAAAGGCAATCCCACCAGGAATGAGTTGATTTGCACAGAGGAGTGGCTGGCTGCCAGGGCCTTTCTTAGAATTTCCTTGACAAAATACTTTTTCAAATCCCCTTAAAATCTGGTCCTTGGGCTCCAAAGCCCTGGTCTCCAAATTAGGCAGGACACCCCGAGGCTCTTTGGGGCGTAAAGCCCTAGACCCCTTGACTGTTTTCTATGTCCCCTTCATCCTGCCTGTGCCTTCGTTTCTCATTGGGAAACAGAAAGTGTTAGGGGCAGAAACGGAATAGTGGGGACTAGCTATAGTTATAAGAAATATCAACCATGCTCTGTTAGCCATGATTGTTCTGTTCTGACCAGAGAAAGCACATTCTGACCTGGCTGAGAGTTGTATGCCCTGGAACATGGGCGCTAACATCAGAATGCAGCCCATCCTGCTTTTCTGAGAACTGCCTGTCATGGAAAGATTAGACAGTCTAGTCCCGGAGGCGCCAAAGATACCTGTTCTCTTAGCCACCCCGCCGCTGCCGTCCCACACTGCCTGTACCCTGGAACCACTGCGCCTGCCACCGTCCCATGCCTGTCCTTCCTACTTGCCCACATCATCTTTGTCTTTCTACCCCAGTGGTTCTCAACCTTGGCTGCACATAGAATCACCTGGGAATCTTTTTAAAATCCTGATTTCTGGGCCTCATCCGCCGGAAATTCTGTTTCACCTGGGAGTCTTTTTAAAATCCTGATTTCTGGGCCTCATCCTCCGGAAATTCTGTTTCTTTGTTATGGGGTGGGGCCACAACATTGGTAACAAAGAAACAGAATTTCCGGAGGATGAGGCCCAGAAATCAGGATTTTAAAAAGATTCCCAGGTGATTCTAATGTGCAGCCAAGGTTGAGAACCACTGCTCTACCCAATATAAGCAACTGGCTGATGGTGGGGTGCAGAGCATATTTCTGTGGGTGACCTGCTGCTCTCCCCTCCTGCCGGCAGGACTGGAATAAACGCTCCTGCATGATTCAACCCCATCTCTGCTGAATTGGCTCAAGTAGTGACAGGCAGCCCGGACCCACTGGTTGTTCGGTTACAAAAGGATAATAAAACCTGGGAGTTTTCTTGGAGATAGTCTCCACATAATCGTCTTCACCATGTCTCAGATTTACTCCAGCCTGGCTGGGGCACAGGTGACAAGAATTAAAGGTACACGCCCTGACTGGTTTGGCTCAGTGGATAGAGCATCGGCCTGCGGACTGAAGGGTCCCAGGTTCAATTCCAGTCAAGGGCATGTACCTTGGTTGTGGGCACATCCCCAGTAGGGGGTGTGCAGGAGGCAGCTGATCGATGTTTCTCTCTCTATCCCTCTCCCTTCCTCTCTGTAAAAAATCAATAAAATATATTTTTTAAAAAAGAATTAAAGGTACAAACAGCTTAGAAATCTAGAATTCTCAGCCCTGGCCACTGCTCAGGTTTCTTCAGAACTTCCCTGTGAGTATCCTGGGCTCCCACTGCCATTGGTTAAGCCTGACAGGGGAGCCCTAGCTTCTGCCCCCCCACGACCCCTCACGCTCTCTGGCTTATGCCTACCCTTCCTGGGTCAGGACTGCCCCACACCAGGCCTGGGATTCACTCCTTCATTCAAATATTACTCCCTGGCAGGCAATTGTTAAACCAAAAATACATTTCTCAAGTTATGAGGATGGATCAAAGTTTTATTTTAAATTTACAG